CTCGGTTCTCACAGTTGTGCAGGGTACCATAGCCTGTCCTGTATGTTGGGTCTGGCCGTCATTAACTTGGTCCTCCACGTAATCCCAAAGAATTAATTTTAATTTTCTTATTAAATTAGCTAATTCAGATTGATAGCTAATATTAAGAGTAGTATTATTTGATACTTTTAGAGAAATTTTAAATCTTGAATGAGCAGTTGTTCCTCTATGCTACCCTCTCTTTTTTTAGATTTTGGTAAAATAAATTCTAAAAAAAAAAGCATTAGTAGCATCTACTTCAAATACCGATCCGATACAGTACTCTTTTTATTAAAGTATCTTAATAATATCACAAGCTTTCAATTACAATATCGATAACATATGTGCCTCAAGGTCGTGAAAGCCAATTTGTGTGTTTACTTTCTAACTTTGAAGAAAATGAGATATGAAGTTGCACTCGAGCATTCTACTAAGACGATTTCCAAAGTTATAAAACCTTCACAAATGAATGGAAGAGGCACCAAACACGATCCGTACATAATCTAAGATTGATAGACTTGTTATTTTTTATTTTTGACAAATGAAAAAGAATTTATATTGATTTAATTATTCTTCGATAACACTTTAATCAAATGAACTACCATAAAGATCATAACACTTGTCAACAATGCTCAATTTTGATTGGCTAGCGGTTTTGGCCCGCACTATGGTAAAATTCGCCCATGAAATTTTCACTTAATAGGCGGCTGATTTATTATAAATTTTGAGTAATTCCAGTCAATTCTTTGATCGCTGCTCATCGCCGCTCTTAGCCAATCAAAATCGAGAATCTGCTATAGGTTAATGTGTTAGCACATTATCATGTGATTTATTTAAAAAAGTTATTTTAATAAATTTTATTAATTTTAAATTCATTTTTTTATTAGAATTGTTGTTTTGCTAAATCATGATTTTATTCATTATTATTTGTTTGAAAATCCGGGTTTTATTATTATATTATGCATTGTTATCCTTTTCATATTTCCATTGATTTTCTAGTATAAAAATTTACGATAAATTCAAACAAATTCAACCATTATTGATAAAATCTAATACAGTAATGTCTAACAATACTTACAATACAACTTATGGAATTTCTATCAAAGAATTCTTTAGCCTTGAAAATTTTCATTTTCGCCATTAAGTTTATGATAAAAAGATTTTTATAGTCATTAATTGTATTGTACTTATTTATTTTATTGGAATCATTATTGTATTTTTGAATCACCAAAAATTTTGATTAATGAATTCTTTCAATGACAAACAAATGAATATATTGAATATTTTGAATCGATATCTACACTAGTGATGTCTGACAAAACCATGTGATGCTAATTGTCACATGGTACAATATATAAAAATCAACAATCTATTCTGATTTTTCATAAGTAATAGCACATGATAATTAGCATCACGTGGTTTCATCAGGCATCACTAATCTACACCCGAAATGATATTTTTTATGGGATTTCTTATTCCATATAGTCTCCTCATACAGAACGAAGGTGCATAGTACAGCACTATAAGAAATTCTTTTTCGATATATTTTTATTTATGTAAATATCGATATTAACTTTTATTATTCCAACCAGTTTATTTTCCGACGGCCTCTAGTGGCCGTCGGAGAACGAACTGAAATTTATATATAGATGGCAAAATTAAAATGATCACCGTTGAGTACGAAAATCCGATCTTCACATGACCAACCCAAAAAATCATAATTACGTAATTTTTTGAAAATCAAAACAAAAGTCATTTTTATCACAATGGGACAAGAATCTTATTTCGATTTTGCTAAAAGGAAAAGAATAGCCGTAAATTTATATCATTATTATCTCTTTAGTGCGATTACCAACAAAATTGATTTAAAAAAAGGTATAAGCCAAATAAAACAAGATTTAAATACTATGTTTTCTAGAAGACAACAAAAAAAGATAAATTCTGAACATTCGGTAAGCAATAATCATTATATTTGACATCTAATTTAATTATGCAGTCTATATAATGAAAGACCTGGTTTAAATATAAATTTTCATGCATAAGTATCTTAAGGATCTGTAGACTGTATATTTCTACTTCATAGCACCAAATGATCTAAATCCCCCACATAAAAATTATTTTAATCATGGTTGAAGACATTATGCATTGATTTATGCAAATAATGTTTTAAGCCATAAATACAAGTCTCATAACATGTAGGACTTGATTTAATTTAAATCCCCTATATTTAGGAGTTTGAATTTATTATTCATTTGGTTAAATAATTGGTCGGGTTATTACTTATGCGTTCTTTGTCTTCATAAATTTTGTTTATTTTAGTGTGTAGGACTTGATTTAGAAATGATTTAAATACTTCTTAAATTATGGGACTTGATTGAATTAAATCCCCCATATAAGAAATGACCCTTCACTTAGAAATAATTTTTGGAGTATACTAAATAAATTATTGCTTACTTTTTATATTTATACTAAATTGTGAATTTTTTATAGCCAGAGCTTCAAACTTTAATAGATCTTATCAAAACTACTCAAAACAATAACACTTATGTTCAATACAGTGTATATATTGAGTCTTGTGCTAAAAGACTAGGTTGGCATGAAGTTCTAGACTGCACATTATATGAACTATTGGAATTAATTGAGGCAAAAAAAGGATCACAAATGTAATTAAAATTTTATTAATTTTAGCAATTTAATTTATATCTAATATTAATCATTTGTTTAAATAAAATTAGCTAAAATTTATGAATGTAAGCAAGATTGTAAAGACAATTAGTAATTCATTTTCAAAAGTAGAATTAAGCCCGAATGACTTGCTACTCTCTGGAATCCTGGACATTGAAGCTTTAGACACCTCAGGCTTCCCAATTAAAAAGGCATTACAAGAAATGAGGCTATGGAATAATGTTAAAGAAACTTTATCACCTAAGCTATTACCCACCGGAATAAAGAAATTTATTATAAACCAAGTTAGTGCTGGTAATATTTCAATACCAGATGATGGAGATAGTCTGTTGTATCGAAAAACCCAAATTCTAATTGATTCTATATAAGTTATAACTATAAATTTAATGAATTTTTATGAAATAAACTCTTATGTATTTCTATTTAATTGTAAAGAAAAAGATTATGGAGAATGCCCATGTTACAATGAATATGTATTATTTCACCGACAATTACTTCACAGACATCTTAGTTCACCGACAATTAATTCACAGACAAGTTTATTTCACTAACAATTATTTCACCAACAGCTCATTTCACCGACAAGTATTTTTTATAAATTGCACTAACCTTAACTCTAATTCTAACTTGACATTAACAACAATGACCAGAATTACTTTGTCGGTGAAATGTTGTCGGTGAAATAATTGTCGGTGAAATAAACTTGTCTGTGAATTAATTGTCGGTAAACTAAGCTGTCTGTAAAGTGATTGTCGGTGAAATGCGCACCACCCGTTACAATCGTGTTCAACTAAATTTAATGAATCATCATGGGCACATTATGTTTTACAACCAATCGTAAATTTTATTGTAGATTTTAAAGAATCAGATATATGTATTAGATAGTATGTTAAACTTCTAAATTAATTAATATATTAATTTTTTTATAATAAATTATATTTATATAGGGATACAATTATAAGTAAAGCTAGTTTGGAAAGAAATAATAAAAAAGGGCCGATTAAAAAAAATGACATATATGGAGTATATGAAAGCAGAGATTATTTTGATTTAGAACTCATATTGGGAGAAATTTCAAATGGACCATTTAATTGATCTTCTCAGGCTCAAGTATATATAAAGGAGGACAGAAATAAATTATCAAAATGTGAAAAAGATGCTTTAGATTTTGTAATTAATAATTATGCAAAATCACATAATTATGATTTAGTAAAAATGCAAGAAATCAAAGTTTATTTATTACATGCACATGGTTAGTAAGTTGATTTTTTATTTTTTTTATTAATAAAATATAAAAATTAATACTGTATATATTGTAAATCTAGAAACTGTTTTAGAATTGTTTATTATTGATAGAAAAATCACACCGTTATATCGGATAAGAAGATTAGGAATTGTTGAAATTCCTTTTTTGAATAACTCTGATAAAATTAATTCAATTTCTTTATACATTTAGTATTCACATTGAAGAGAATTTAAAACTTATAAAAGAGATATTTAATGAAAACTTGGGCAGTGAGGATAATGATAGGAATGAAGAAAAGGACATTTATAATGATGAAGGGGAGGAAGAATATGAAGAAATTAGTAGTAGAATGTTTGCATTTATTCCAACATATAATACACCTCGATCATCTATTAATAATTATTAGTTATTAATAAATTCTTTGTATCATTTTTAAAGTTGGAGTTGGAATGAGTCACTCGAATGAAATGTATTTATGTATTTTTCTAACTAGTTACATGAGGCAGACACTTGTGTTAATGCTATTAATAATAAATTCTGAAAATATTATAAGAAATACATTTCACAGTCAATTTAATCTAACATTAAGAATTTACAAACTAAAATTTATACAAAAATAAAGTAATTTTTTTTAAAAAAAAATGAAAGATAAAATGGAGTGACACTTCCAACAAAGTTTTTAGGAATGAAGAATTAGTAGTAATCGTGAAATGTGACGTAGCACCACTTCATGTGACCAATTTTAAAATTGCGCAATTATAATTGGTCACATGAAGTGGCGCTGTATTACATTTCACGATTGTGACATGGTTAATTCTTTGTCCCTGAAAACTTTGCCAGAAGTGTCACATTCTATATTTAATTTGATAAGAATTAAAATATCAAATTTTAATTCTGTAATTAACTGGTGTATAAAGTTATCGAGATGCTTAATTTTTGATTCAATAATTTCAATGTTACTGTTATCTTTAAAGAATTGGCCGTATGTTGGATCAATTGAATTCAATTTATTTAAGAGTCTTCTTATTTCAGGATCTGCCAAAATTCTTCTTTTTTCTGTTTTATTCTTAAACCTTGAATATTCCGAGTTGTTCAGTTACCACTTAATACAAATTTATACTTGATAATTTCATAAATTTATTTTATAAACCTGAGTTTTAGTTAAACTGGTTAAATTTATTATACAAACTAACTAGTTAAACCAGTTAGTCACATATAAATTGTATTGTTATTATTGTATGCTGTGGCTTTAATTAAAAATACGAGAAAAGAATTTAAGATTTATACAGAGGATTAGAAATTTTAATTCTGCACGTGATTAAGTTATGTGTAATAAAAAGAATTTGATTCATAAAGAAAGTTTTTTAAAAAAAATGGTTTCGGAATATTACAAAGATTTTAAAATTCAAGAGACTTCTATCATTCAAAATTATGAAATAATTGCACTCTTTTATTTAACAATTCCTAACGAAAAAAATTTAAATGTATATTTTCAACTTATCGATGATACTCCTGTTGAATTTTACTCATATTTGTACGATAGCGAATTTTCTATCAAAGCAGAGTATGCAAAGATTATTAGTTATTCGAAAAATAGATTTGTGAAGTTTCAAAATATTACTTTTTTCAACCGTTACGAGAAAACTATTGAAGCCGATAAAATAGAATATATAATGTATTATCCGGATGGATTTTTTTATTGGGATTACATTGAAAAGAGTTTTTATCGTGAATCTGCAACATATATTAAATATTTTATTTTAACAAATACTTATACGTTTGTTGATTCTAAAAGCACACATTCTCTTGAGAGTTTAATAGTTTTTTAATTACTATAGTTTTGATATTAAATTTATTATTAATTAGTTGGTTATAGTAATTGAGAATTAGGTCGTGTTTGTTAGTTTTATTATTTTTCCTTCGATATTGTAAATAATTTTTTTATTACTTAATTAATATAAAAATTTTTTTATAAGTGTAATGGATACTTTAAAATTGATTGGCCAATAAAAATTTTTTTTTTTACATTCTAGGTTGTTTAATTTATTTATTGTTATTCTCGCTAGGGATTGGAAACGATTAAGAAAAATATTAGGCGGTTCCAATCCTTAATTCTCACCAACCTCATACCCAGGATCCTTCCGGATCCATTTTTGTGGAACACTAGTTTAGAATTCGGTTATAAATATCGATATGAATAAAATTAGAGTAGGCAGAATTAATTAAAGTACAAATTTGGGCAAAATTAGAATATAAATTTGGGAATTAAAGAAGAATTAGGGTTAGGGTTGTATAACATAGTAAGTTATTGGGGTGTGTGATTGGATTTTTTCATGGTTATTTAACAAATTATTTTTTATCAAAAATTTAGTCGCTACATTTATATGATATCGCAAAACAAACCGGATTTTATGTTCAAATAGAATAAAATTTACTATTGAAATCAGTATTTATTTATTTAAGATTCCATTCTCAGCAACCCGGTAGCACTATGAAAATTAGAAAAAATTCCAATAAAGATCTCGTGGCAAATAAGATGACTAGTCATATTAAAAATTTACAAATTAAAAAGTTTATACAAAATAAAGTAATTTTTTAAAAAAAAAATGAAAGATAAAATAGATTAAATATAGAATAGGTGACACTTCTGGCAAAGTTTTCAGGAACGAAGAATTAGCTGTAATCATGTAATCGTGAAATATAACGTAGCACCACTTCATGTGACCAATTTTAAAATTGCGCAATTTTGATTGGTCACATGAAGTAGTGCTGCATTACATTTCGCGATTACGTGTACGGTTAATTCTTCGTTCCTGAAAACTTTGCCGAAGTGCATCTATTCTATATTTGATTCAATGAAATTAAAAATATCAAAATTTGAATACTGGTATTAAATTATCGAGATATTTAATCTTAGATTCTTCAATTACTGTTATCTTTAAAGAATTGCACCATATCGTTAAATTCAATTTATTTATTCTATTTCCGAATCTGCCAAAAAAAATTTTTTATTTATTTTCCTTTTGCTTCTTTACGAATCATATTTATTATGAGTCTTATATTCATTTCTTTCGGTTTAGCATGAGAGAATTGTTTATTAAAATCCCTTCATCGACCAATATCGAAATAGTGAAAATGATATCCATTTTGCAAATTGGATTCTCAGGAATGTTTCGATCAAAATTTGAAGTTGTTATCAATAAAATTTTACACATTGGATTTATTTGAAATAGCGGCTTTAATTTGTTATGAATAAAGTTTTCAAGATTTTCAATATTTGGTTGAATAGTTTCAATATCGCAATCGTTAAAAAATTGAAGGAAGTTTTTGGTTAATGATGAATCAAATGTCTCCAATGTTGCTGAAACTCTTTTAATCTCTTCCAAATTTTTTATATTCTTGAAATTTCGATTTTTTACGAAATAGCTTGACTTTGATTCAATTTTCGTTTCATTTTTTGATTCAAGTGTCTTTGTTTCAAGTAGTCTGTTTTTCTCATTTGTGCCAATTTGCTTTACTAAATCGAATACTTCTTGAGAGGATTCAGTTTTGGATATATAGATAAACAAATCAATAATAGAATATAAATAACAAAAATATAAAAATATTGTAAGATAGCAAATGATATTGAAGAAATCCATTTTGCAATTTATTATCAAAGAATGCGATTTCTGCACAGCCTGAAAGGTACTTTTATTAATTTTAAATAAATTCTTTGAAATCCAATTTCTGCATAAATTATTCTCGTAAACAATCTTCTTTAATGATATAAATCAAAAAAGAGAAGTTTTTAGATTTTCTTAAGACTGGATGCATTATCGCACAGCATTTTTGAGGCTTAGTACGCGTATTAGAACGCGCTTTGTTCTTTATGGTTCTGTATTTCCTGAATGCAATTAAATGGAAATTATAAAAGAAAAACTTGTTTATTCAAAAGAAATTTTTTTTTACATTTTTCTTAAATTCTAATTTTTGCATATGTGCATTAACGCGCAGCATTTTTTTGAGGCTTAGTACACATATTGGAATGCGCTTTGTTCTTTGTATTACAATGCAATATAAATAATAATAATAAAGTATACCGAATTTATTTTTTTGTATAATATAAAGTCGTGAATTAAAAAAATTTTTTTTTTTTAATAATACATTCGGCACCATTATCTTCGTGAAACATGTTAATTCTTTTTTTGTTATCATGTGACTTAATACTGTAACAAAAGTATAGTTATAATATAATTTTTTCTGTAATACCGATTATATATTTTATAGAAATAATATCAATTTATATAATTCTAATATAAAAAACTCTCAATTCCAGTTTTCGGTGCATATGGTTTTTTACAGTGGGACTATATATGTCCCACTCTTTAGACGATCCCAATATATAAGAAATATTTATATTTTATATTATAAGTAATGAGAATCCAGATATCCATTCAATCTTAAATATATAAAGAGCCTTTTTATCATCTGTATATTTTTAAATTAAACTCTTTGCTATACAAGATTCATTTTTCATACAATTCTATAGCTCTAAGATTCAATTTTCATACAATATAATAACTTTACTAAAAATGCCTAAATATAAAACTGTCTGCCCCGTATATATAGAGATAAAAATGAATTTATCTCTAGTATTTTAATTAGGGGAAACATAACTGCACGCTTCAAATTTAATAATATTCTCAAAAAATCAGATAAACAAATAATAGCAAGTGTCGCTACAGTTAAATTACAAAATTCTAAGGAAAAACGAACATTGTAACTTTTAAACTCGAGAGTGTAAAATATAACAAATTACGCAAGAATTTAACAAGATTAACAGCTGAAAGAGGAACAATTAACTCCCACGTTCATAAACTTAAAGAAGAAATAGAAAACCTGACTATAGATTTAGAATTTTAAAAATTAAAAAAAACAGTATCAGACAATTGCACAAATAATGTGATTTATTACAAAATAATAAATATATTTAATCAACCATATTTTATTAAATCTTGACAGCATGCAAATTCCTCCAGAACTATACGAATCGATAATTTTCGATAAATGTTTTTCACCATTAGATTTATTTAACATTATGTTAACATGTCAACAATTTGCTAAAATAGGGGCAAGTGCATTGTGGTCTGATGTATTTGGTAAATTAGCAATAACAAAAAATATAGCAAACTTTAAAATTCGCACATGTTTAGTCTTTACGAAGCCATTGTCGATCAAAAATCAAAAAATTTTATAAAGAAATTTATTGCAAGACAAAACATTTACAAAATATATTTTATTTTTCTAAATCGTCTTTTGTTAGTTCAGATATAATTTAGTGAAAAACTTATTTTTGAAATTTCACATGATTTAATGATTATCATATGCGAAAAATGATAAAGTATAACGATAAAGAAAAAATGGTATTCACAATACACTTTTCGAACTTTAAAATTAAAATATTAAATAAGAAAGAAATAGCTAAAGAAGAGTTTTTATTTTTTACATATTTATTTACAAATCTATTTACAATCGATGTATTGTTTATATGTATAGTACATTAAATTTTATCAGTTTTTTTTTGTTTATTAACGTTAATTTTGCTAATAAGATATTTAATGTTAAAGTCTTTTCTAGAGATAGCACGATTTAATTGTTCTATTTGTTCTTTTGTTTCATTAAGTTTTTCTTCTAAACAAATAATTTTGGTTTCATAATCTTTGCCTTCCTTGATCTTTTTAATTAAAACTTGCAAAGCTTTTTGCGAGGCCTTGTTTGCACCGTTCTTTTGCTTCGTTTGCAATTTAGGCTCTTTGAAATGCATTTTGATAAGATTTTGATAAAATAATTGCATTCGATCCGTTTCATTTTGAAGGGTTTTATTATAATTTATTTCCAGTTGCACATTTCTTTTTATAAGTAGTGCATTTTTTT